AAAAAGTCATTTTAAATGTAAGATATATTTTAAAAAAGAAATGTCCTTTACAGAAAAGAAATACTTTTTCCTTTACAAATATCAAACATATTCAAAGATGGCCCAAAACCCAAATCTTTGACCCTTTACCTGCATATGGGCCCAAACAATCACATAGATTTGCACAGTGAAACCAATGGTTTAAGAATGACAAATCTTTGTGCTCCTCTAACATTAAAGTATTTATTTAACCGGCTTCATTCTTGTTTTGTAAAACATACATAGAGCTTATAAATTATTCTACATTAATATGGATCTGCTCTCAGAGCTCACAGTTCTCAGTGACACTGGGAAGGTGCTGGGTTCATAGAGTAAAGAAGAGTTTGACAGGGATAGTACTTGTTGCTCAAGAATGGAGCAGTGTCACCTGTTTGAACGCTTCTAAGCACATGTGCAATTTCTTGCATTCATGCTTCAGGACTGCTTTAGATGTGTAGCAGAGTGTAACATTATATAGAGCCTCACTCACAGAATCTGCAGCAGAACTAATTTGGCTGTAGATGGAAGTCTAGTAGGAACAATGCCAGCTCAGACATGGCATGTCTCCCTGGGAAGAAGGGTGCACACTGGCACAAATGTTTGGGTGCTTAAAAGAATTCTTTGAAACGTGATGTGCATTAACATGTTTGGTGTGATCACTGTTTCTTTGTCTTTTTCTTTTTTTCGGGTTTCTTTGCATCGTCGTGTGCTTTCCGCTTCATTGCCAGTTTATTTGCCTGTAAGGTGTGAAAGAGAGGTTTAATAAAAATAAATAAATAAAAAGGACTACACAACAGATGGATTATAGTGTGACTATGGCTACAAACAACACCTTATAATGTATGTATTGTAAAACAGTATAAACAAGCAAATCCACCTGCTATAACAGATAATATATATATATATTTTATTATTTTAAAAATGTATTTCTTTATTCCTTTCTACTGATATTTTGTCCATTTTTGTGTTTGTTTCATATTGGTGGCCAGAGAATGGATTAAATGGAAGAAACGGGCTGTAGTGGTTATTGTGCTTGGAATGTTCCTTAAAGGGACTGTAAGAACTATAACTATTTAATCTCACTGAATTGGTTGAGAGCCCTTGCACTGTCCCAGCCAAAACCATTTTTTATAATGTGTATGCCTTTCCCTAACCACCCACAACTGGGAACCTACTGGAGGTACGGTTACGGCAGAGATAATCAGCTGACACTCTCAGCCAATCACATCAACCCATTGCTGCTCAGGCTAGTGCTTCTTCATTAGCACAAGCAGCACAAAGAGGGGGGCTGCTGACGAATCATATAGCATTAAAAATAAAAGGACAGCAGAGCAGTTACAGTGCACCTATACAGGCAACTAGTGGATATTGCCATAAACATTTCCTTTCTGTCTAGCACTTTTTGTGTTTTGATACTCTAATATGCAGGTTACGGTGCTAGGAGCACCCTGTTTGTCTCTATGATGCATCACCTTTGCTTAACTTATTATAGGACCAACCCCAGCGCAAACACATGTGAAGGAGACAATACAAACCGAAAACAAGAACATGCACCTTCACCATTGCTCTTGCCTGTTCCTTTATCTAATCACTTGTGTTAAGACTTTCCTTAGCTTATTCTCTACTCACCTCTCTGACTTTGCGCTTCTTTCCAAACATTATTTTGTTGTAAAGGTACTTCTCCTTTTTCTTCATCATCATGATAGCTAGGCGCTTCTCCTCATTCTTCTCTTGCTCTGCTACTCTTGCTTGATTCACCTCTCTCACCTTGCCTGCTGTCACCTTAACATTCAGTTTCTGTAGGATGGCAAAGTAGATATGAAATATGTGAACTACAGGAGAAAAGGAAAAATAAAAACAAAACAGGCAGGAATCCACATAGGTTACCAATGTGAATGATGGTGAACTTCAACTCTAGATACCTTCTCAGCAGACTTCCTATCCTCCATCTCTCTCAGCTTCTTATCCTCCTCCTCCTCCTCCTCCTCCTCTTCTTCTTCTTCTTCTTCCTCCTCCTCCTCCTCCTCTTCATCATCATCATCATCATCATCATCCTCCTCATCCTCCTCCTCCTCCTCATCCTCCTCCTCATCATCTGAAAATGCAAATATAGCGACAGATGAGCACCTCATACAATGCCAATGTTAGAATTTGGTTATCACACCATATTCCCATCCTCCATTACACCCAGTTCAGCATCATCTCTTGATTAAGCCATAATTACCAATTCTTTCTCCTCTTTGCAGTGCCAGCAGCCGGTGTTTCTCAGGGGGAACATAGTCGCCTTCCTTCTCCTGTACAAATGGGGAGAGGTGTGGTGGCAGCAGCACTCCTGGGAAATAGTCTGCCACAGGTAGAAGCAAACGAGCATTGACACTGTCGAACACCCATTGTGGTTGCACATAATACCTGTGGAAAGCAGAAGACTAATCTGGATGATCACATTACTATACAACACAGTTTTCAGATTTGCAAAATGATACAAAGTGATCTAGGAAAATATGATGTGTGCATGCAAATGTTAACCTGAAAAACAAAGTTACTTAATAGAAAGAAAACACATCAAGGAATCAGCCACAATTTACAGGGACCATACATATCAAACACATATAGCTGTACCTGTTGATTATCTGAGGATCTACACTGGGCCTGTCCACAATGTGGTGCGTGATAGAGCTGTCTGAGCTATCATACGTTGATCCAATACAGACTGTGGCATCCCAAGAAACCTCACCACCAAAACTCCTGTTAAAATATAAGAAGTTGTCATAAACCGCTAAAAACAAAAAAAACATTCACATGCCAAATGAATAATAAAATAAAGGCTGTGCTTAACCATAGCATCTCATCCACAAAAGCATGGATGAAAAGTCTAAACCAGCGATACCCAAAAGTTGGCTCCCCAGATCTTGTAGATCCAAAACATGCCATTAAGCTTTGCAAGCCTTTAGAATGACAAAGCATCATGAAAGCTTTAGTTTTAAAACATCCGGGGATCTACCTTTTGGGTAACCCTAGTCTAAACAATTCTACATCACTAGAAAAAAATAACGAAAGAAAAATCATAGTTTTACAAATTCCCATTACCATGCCCAGTTCGAAGGTACACACAAAAAATTCTGCCATTGCATTTTGTTATTGTGAGTGCACAAAGAACAGCACAGAATGCACTTGAGCAGAACCTATTGGTTATGCTCTGTAAACTGGCATCACACTGCATGACACAAGGGCTACAAATAATATAGTAAAATAATATTAAAATCTCACTCATGCACGTGCAGCACAACAATTTTAAACATTTAAAACATGCACAAGCTCTTGGATACATATACCACAATGCTGTATGCATGCTAAACAGAGAATTTGTTTTTCTTTTATATCAAAGAAGGCTCTAAAGTGCACTGGCATTGCATGTAGCTCTCACCAGGTTTCTTGTCAACAGGTCAAGCCCTCTCTTACCGTATAATAAATGCAAGGGCCTCCCGTGGTACTTCGCGGTTCAAGAAAAATTTCAGGCCCACAAACAAAGATTTATGCTTCTCCTCATCTTGCAGCTGTTTTTGACGTTCCTCCTCCTGATCTGCGGTCTCCTACACAAATTAAAGGACAAAGTAAAACAGCATTACTTCCCCCACTAAGGTTAGTCAGCAGTGTATAAATCAGAAATAGTGCTGTTCCATATACCTTATGCACTTTCCAACACTAAATATCTACAAGCTAATAAAATATGAGTAGAGTTGTACTCACTGGATCTGCAGGAAACTCATCAATCTCAACATCATCCTCTGGCTCAGATGGAACCACACGGGACAAACTGGCACTTAGCGCGGACAGTTTCTGTGGAAGAAACTTGTATGAGTAGGAGCAAATTGAGATAAAAAAAAAAGAGTAAAACAAAGATATTAAGATGAATGACACAAAGAATGCTGGACAAAGACCGCAATTATAGTACAACAGGAAAACTGCAGAAAATCGGCCTGGATTCCCTGACACAAAGACAGAACGAGATAAAACAAGTTAGAAGATAACATTTACCTCCATGTAGGCCTCAGACTCTAGAGCATATTTATCTTCCTCATCTACTTTCAATTCGGCCTCTGAGTGGGAGTCCAGCTGAGACAGCAAGGAGATACAATGAATAATGATGAAGTCTGATAACAAGGCAATTAGTGGGGTTAAGCTGGTAAGAGTCAGGGATAAGCAGAGCCAAGGGACAGTATTTATTGGGGAGTCACACAGAGGATAACAGAGATACAAGTAATCAGAACAATACAGAGGAAGCGAGCAGGGGAGAAGCAAGACATTGCAGGGGATCTGTAAAGGGTAAGTGCTTTTCTAGAATCACAATATGAAACAGATAAACGGAGACATGTTGAGAAAGGCACTCTCTTAATAGTTTGTACATTCTACACAATTCTTTTACAGTGTGCTTTGAATTTAGTGGCGGTCCTTACCTTGGGTGGATACTGCAAATTGAGCGTCTGGTAAAGACGAAAGTTTACAAAACCCAGAAGTGTGGTGTAAAATTCAGTGAAGGTAGCCATAACCCTATAATCCACATCTGTAGGGTGCTGCAGAGAGAGAGAGAGATTAGTAGGAATGCAAAAACTGTACAGAGAGGAAGGATGTGCACTAAAACAGAATTTGGCTTCTAGAAAACAGTATTTACAGGTCAATAACAAAACAATACCATATGAATGTAGCAGGTGCACACTTGGAGCTGAGGAAAGGCATATAGCGCCATCCCAAAACTTGAGTTGTGACAAGACAGATTATAACACAAAGCACTACATCAAAACATCTTAGCAGAGCACCATGCAGCGACAGGCTATTTTTCTGCAAGAGCAATGCTCTGCAGATGAATCATAAGACAAGAGTGTGCTTGATGAAAAAGTGAACTTTGATCAAAATTAAGAGAGTGCAGTAATTTAGTAGTTACACTAAGCACGTTATTGATCTTAGTGCTTGGTGTTGGGTGGCACGGTTTGTATTTCTCTTTAGTAACTATGGTACTAACTGCAAACTCATATCTGGTACCATAGTGACAAGAGATCTTATTAATGTTTTCAGGTTTTTTTTCCCCCCAGACTATTAAGCTACAAAATAGCAAAACACAGTTTTAAGCAATCCACATGCAAAACGTAATATATGGCACAGAATAGATTACAATATAAAAAAAAAAAAAAAGATTTGATTTGCAGTCAGTAATCTTTTCGTTATTACGGTCTACAAGCTCCTAAGTTAAACTTGTGATATTTACATTTGAAAATATACCCTGTGCCCTGGCTGCCTGGGATCAGAAATGTGAAAATGGTAGCATTGGTCTAGAGAGGAGGCGACTTAACAGTTCCTCTTTATGATAAGTTATATATGTGAGAACTTGCCACAACCGTTTCCTAGTACACAATTTAATTAAAGCTCTGCTGCCCTCTAGTGTACACTGTGTATCACCATGTTAAAACAACAGGATGGAGGGCTGTGCTAAAATAAGTAAGTAGTTTAAATATATATTATCCAAGATAAAACAAACGTATATACAGGCAATATAACAAAATTAAGTAGTCCAAAAAAAGTCTATAGGAAAGTACCCATGAGGTAGTGGAATGTGCAGATATGGAGCTGGTTCAAGCAGTAAGTGCTAAATCAGGCAAAAGTTTCCTGTTGAGAAGCTATGGTTTGTTCACTGAAGTCGTTGTCATTCAGTTTCATCAAACTAAACAATCCACGGTCCACATTTAAGAGGCTCAACCAAGGTGGTATTCAAGAACCAACCCATTCCTGATCCCAGAGAGCACTATCTTTTGTACCTGTATTCTTCAAATTTTGATTTGCTGACATTCTGTGATTGAGGACACCTACATCATATCCTATAAGTGGGGAATGTACCAAATCCATTGTTACTGCACTACAGTCACTTTGGCTGTACCATTGGAATTTCTCTCTGCTTTTGTCTTTTTGTATGGACTCTAACAACATACTGTGAACAATACCATAGCTTCTCAACATGAACCCCTTGACTGATTTAGCACTTACCGCTTGACCCAGCTCCATATCTGCATATTCCACTACCTCAAGGGTACTTTCATATAGACTTAATTGGATTACCTCATATTTTTTTTTTAATATTGCATAATATATATATATACACACACACACACACACACCAATTTATGCATCCATTTTTGCTTGTTTCTGATGCAGGTGTTTTTTGTTTTGTTTTTTGTGCAACCCATGCCTTGTGAAAGATTTATGGAAAAAGACGCTGAGGATGCAAAAAACAAAAACAACAAAAAAAACACCTGCATCAGAAAAAAGCAAAATGGATGCATAAATTGGTACCCCAAAATGGTTTAAATTAAGAGATGAACTGTGCATCCACAGCAGGTTAGTCTCAATATTTCTTCTTTTTTATTTTTTTTTATTGATCAGTTGATCACCTTCCTTAGCGAGCTTCTATTGTCAGGTCTGGCTTTATCTCTATGTACCAAACATTGTTTTATGTTATCAATATTCATTTTCACTTGATTATACATATTAATTTAATTATTTTATTCAGTAGCTGGCAAAAGTGTTACTCTTATGCTATACTGTATATAAAGATGTTCATTTAGGTACTATAGATGTACTATACAGCTTAATGTAGTTGTTTTGGTGAGTATAGTCCGTCCTTGCAGGCTTTTTAATGTACGCACTGCCTTTTCAGAGAAAAGATAGCGTTTACATTGCTGTCTAGGGACACCTCCAGTGGCAGTCACTCAGAAGACCACTAGAGATGGTTCCTGGGTCAAGAAAACAAAAATTAGAAATCCAATCTATTCACACTGCAAGAACTTAGAAGTATGTACAGCATAAGAACAAAAAATGTGTATCATGTTTATACCTCATTATTGAGGACTATAGATGTAGCTGCTTTTGAAATGTGTGGAGCCAAGTAAGGGGGCAGTGCCCATCCACCTTTGAAGTTCCCAGCTGCCACTGGTACGCAGTAACTCTTATCCACCTTTCCTGAACTATTCAGTTCTTACTTGAATCTGGTCTTTTAAACTACCGTATATACTCGAGTATAAGTCGACCCGAATATAAGCCGAGGCCCCTAATTTTAGCACAAAAAACTGGGAAAACTTATTGACTCGAGTATAAGCCTATGGTGGGAAATGCAGCAGCTACTGGTAAAATTTCTAAATAAAATTAGATCCCAATAAAATGACATTAAATATTTATTTACAGTGTGTGTATAAAATGAATGCAGTGTGTGTATATAATGCAGAGTGTATGCATTATATACACACACACACTCCTACAAACACACACACTGCGTGTATATAATGCAGAGTGTTTGTGTGTGTGTGTAAACTGGGTGGGAGGCATTTTTATTATTTAAAAAAAAAAATAATAATATTTTAATATAATAATTCTAATGTTTTAATATTATTTAAATTATTTTAATATTTTTTTTTATTATTTTTTAGCCCCCTCCCTGCTTGTTGCCTGGCCAGGGAGGGAGGCTGTAACAATCCTTGGCGGTCCAGAGGATGGGCTGTACAGTGGGGTGGGGGGCCGGAGCGAGCTGTTACTTACCTTTACAGCAGCTCTGGTTAGCTCCTGTCAGCTCCGCGCAGCACACAGTGCAAGTCTTGCGGTCTGCGTGCCGCGCGGAGCGTTTGCTCTGATGGCCGCAGGTCTCGCGAGACTTACACTGGGAGCTGAACGGAGCAGCTGTAAAGGTAACAGCTCGCTCTGGGCCGCAACAGGACCGCCGGGCTTGTAACGAGCCCAGCGGTCCTGGTCTGTATTACGGCAATGTAAGTTGCCATAATACAGACAGTGACTCGAGTATAAGCCGAGGGGGGCTTTTTCAGCACAAAAAATGTGCCAAAAAACTCGGCTTATACTAGAGTATATACGGTATATCTCGTATTACTGGATATTTGTGGCAACCTCAAAAAAAAAAAAAAAAAAAAATGCTAAAAATTAAAATTTTATTGACTGTGAAACCAACAGACATAAAGCTCCAGAAAGTTTCGAAACTTACATCATGAGAAAAAGCATAAGGGGAAATCCAGGTAACAGTCTGTCCCAGTATGTCTGCTTGATAATAGATTCCTTTAATTGACAGGAAAACCTAGGAAGCAGAAGTTAGAGTTTGGAAATGAATCCATCAATTTATAAAAGTATCTAAGGGTTTGCAAAGGTCAAGGCCTAATACACACAATACATAATTTTTAAATATGTATGTAAAAGTAGTATAGCACACCCAGCTCTGTAAAAAAAAAAAAAACAAAAAAAAAACAACAGCTTTTATTGATAATCAACTTCTTCAGTTGGGGAAAAAAATAAATAAAAAAATAAGCTGAATTGTTGACCATTAATAAAAAATCACGTTTTACTTTTTAAGAGATCTTTAGCTGGACTTAACACCAGGTAATTTAATTACCAGGAAACTAGAGTGTGTCCATGTGTAAAATTCACACACACACATATATATATATATATATATATATATATATATATATATATATATATATATATATATATATATATATATATATATATATATATATATATATATATATATATAAATATATACACACACACACATATATATATGTGTACACACACACACACACTACAGTGTTTTAAACATTGAGCAAACTGTGGTTCAAACTTTAACCCCTTAAGTACTGGACTGTTTTTGCGATGTTGTACATTTGCGACCAGGCATATTTTTACACTTTTGTGGTGTTTGTGTTTGGCTGGAATTTTCCGTTCTCATTTACTGTTCCCATACAAATTATATATTGTTTTTTTCAGGACAAAAGGGGCTTTCTTTACATACCATTATTAATATAATCTCATGTATTTTAATTTAAAAAAAATAAAATAATGAAAAATTGAAAAAAATACATGTTTTTTTACTTTTACTTGAAAAATATTTTACTCATCTACAAAAGCGAATGAAAAAAAACTGCTAAATAGATTCAAAGTTTTGTCCTGAGTTTAAAAATACCCAGTGTTTACGTGCTTTTTTTTGCATGTTATAGGGCTATACGTACAAGTAGGATATTGCGGTTTCAAAACATACATTTTTAAAATTTATCAATAGTGACATTGTAACACTATTATCTGTCATAAATCTCTGAATAACACCCCACATGTACATATATTTTTTAAAGTAGACAACCCAGGGTATTCAATATGGGGTATGTCCAGTCTTTTTTAGTAGCCACTTAGTCGAAAACACTGGCCAAAGTAAGCATATATTTCATATTTGTTTGTGTGTGAAAAAAGTAAAAAAAGTAAATTAAACGCTAATTTTGGCCAGTGTTTGTGACTAAGTGGTTACTAAAATAGACTGGACATACCCCATTTGCAACACCTTGTGTTGTCTTCTTTTGCAAATGGTATGCCATCATTGGGGTAATTCTCATTCCTGGGATACCATACGCTCTCAAAGGCAATGTAACCAACCTGGCCATTTTCAATGTAAAAATATTTGACCCATATATTTGACCCTGTAACTTTCAAAAATGCTATAAAACCTGTACATGGGGGGTACTGTTTTACTCGGGAGACATCGCTGAACACAAATATTAGTGTTTAAAAACTGGGAAATGTATCACAACAATTATATCATCAGTAAAAGTGATGGATGTTTGTGAAAAATGCAAAAAGTCACTTTCACTGACAATATCATCGCTGTGATATGTTTTACTGTTTTGAATCACTAATATTTGTGTTCAGCGAAGTCTCCCGAGTAAAACAGTACCCTCCATGTACAGGTTTTAGGGTGTCGTAGAACGTTACAGGGTAAAATACAGTGCTAGCAAATTAAATTCTCTGGACTTTTGGCCTGGGTTGGCAGGCAGGTCCCTCAAATTGCAATCAATAAAATTACTTCATTATGTAAAAATATTACATAAATACGCACGTAGAATTTAAATATATATGCATATTTATATATTTGAAATCTACGTGTATATTTATATAATTATTTATGTAATTTTGTATATGGACATATGTATATTTCGTATTTTTATTTATTTATATATAGATATATATACAAATTCATTCTAAGTGTATTTTGATAGAAATACATATTAATTTTAAAATACAGTTAGAATAAAATTTCATATAGATATATTTTTTTCAATTTTTATTATTTAAAAAAAATTAATTTAATTTAAATTACTTATTTATATTTTATAATATATACACACAATATATATAATTATATATATATATATATATACACAGACACACGTGTGTAATTTAATTATATTAATATAAAAATACACTTAGTTTGACATTATATATATGATATATAGACATATTATATAGATATAATATATGTCTATATATCATATATATACACACATATATAATTTTTTTTATTTTTAATTAACATTAACTTTATTTTTTATTTTATTTTACACATGCAGGGAGACTGCCTGTCAGCACAGGCAGTCCCCCTGGAGTTAGACACCTATTG